ACGTTTCACGTCGATCGGTTTGAATAGAGTGGATTGTGAGAGCCAGATGGAATGTGCCTAGATTCCTAATACGGGATTCCATTTAACTGTGCCTTCTTCTTTCGTGCCCCGGTTGCCACCTTGGTAAAATTGTACATGAACATTGGCCGTTTCGAAACCTCTCCTCGAAGAAACGAGGCTCTTGTCGTCTCCCTTGCGTTTCGATTGCGAATGCTCCGGCGATCGAGGAAACTTCCAGTCAATTTCTGCAGCTGGAACATGAAAATTTCGAAGTTTCAGGCAGTAAGCCGTTTTTCGAAGTACTTGAACTTCCTTCTCTCGCTCGATTTGCATACTTAAAACTAACGCTTGCAAGTCTCTCGAAGGGTGTTACTTGACTATCCTTTTTTTTCTTTTTCATTTTCTCTTCTGTTTCTACTGTAACAATGTCGACCATTTATATGTTAAACAATTAAATAAATAAAACAGAATAATCGGAGAAATCTTGAAAATAGAGTTTCATTCGAACAAAATAGGAGGATTAATCCTGAGAAGCGGAAATTTTTTAAAGGTTTAATATACTTTGAATTAAAAAACAATTTTCCGACACGAAAACAGATCATTGTCAGCCTAAACAAGGTATTTCGTGAGAAAATCTAAAATTCAAAACTTTGTGGATGCATCTCGATCCTCCCTCGAGCTTCCCAGGATTAAAACTGCAATTTCCTCTGCATCGTTTAAAATCTCCTGAAGGATCTCGATATCTCACCGAACGATAATTACTGGCAAAGTTCTATCGGAGTATTAGAAAAGTAGCAGAAAGGGTGCAAAAACGGAATGAAACGATAAATCGCAGCTAGAGATTTACACCAGCCCGTCTGGCGATAAGAATGATTGCTCTTCTCCGGACAAAGAGGAAATGAAATTTAAAACAAAATCTCTGTATCCGCGTTCGCCTTTATTTTCCTCCTCGATAGGTCCTGGCGAAGATCCATTAGAGCTCGGCTACATAGAGTCGAAACTCACCGGTGTCCAATCTTTTCCGCCATTTTTGCTCTAATCTCCGCCACATTTTTCGATCATGCCCACGCGCGTTCTTACGTAATCGTTCGCCAATGAAAAATCCTCTATTTCGATTTGCGCTCTAGGCAGTGAGGAATATAGAGGCAAAGCTTGATATTAGAAATATAAATAGAGACAATGCTTGAAGATGAGACGCGTGAGATCAGCTTCACTTCACGCATCACAGAATTTTCCCATTAACCTTTGGAAAATCGACTTTGAAAAGGTTTCGAATGAAACTTACTACTATTGTTTTGTCATTAAAGATGTTTTTTTTTTTTTTGTATTGCGTCGAAACAAAGGGACTGAATCGGAAATAGTTCATAATGAAATGTAAAAGTCTAATAGAATTGGTATTTATATCGATATAATGTGTCGATATAACGCATCGATATATGAGCCACTCAGAATCCAGAATGATTAACTCCACTTTTCGATATTCTTCCAATTTTAATATCAAAACATGCTTAGTGCTTAATTTTTCATAAATAAAACGCTTTTAATAAATTTTATTTTATAGAGTTAGTCACTTTAACTTCTGAGTGGCTCATATATCGATTTACATTACGATTTTATACCGATATATCGATTTTAAGCCATATATATCATATCGATATATGTCGATTCATCGTATCAAGATATATCGATTAATATCGAAATATATTGATTCATGTCGAGATATATCGATATAATTTGTTAACTTCTACGAACTTTTATCGGATAGATCACGAGGAAGCTGTTGAAGGAAGATTTGCAATCTCACGATAATATTAAAGACGTAAGCAATTAAACGATTTAAAACTTTTTAATATAACAACGAATGTCACGATAAAAAGGAAATTAACCGCGTTATCAAAAGACGCGTGTTAAGGGATCGAAGGAAAAAGACGCGGGCGCATGCGCAGCGCATGGCGGTGTGTTCGAGAATCGTGGCGGGCCGAGCGATATTCATTCAGTGCTCCGGTACTATTTGCTCGCTACGGTTGTCGTTCGGCAAATCTCACCCGTCCCGTGGTTCTCCTTGTCACGTGTTACCCGTGTGACTTGTCAGGATTCTCGATTTCGCGAAACTTCAATCTCAAAACACGGTTTCGAATCCTTTCGAAACCAGACGTGATCGTAATTCACGAACTTTCACGAAGTGTCGTATCACGGATATCACGCGGATATATAATACGTTATTCTCTCCCCCTCGAACTGTCGCGTCCCGATCGCGAACAAAGTTTATGGAAACGCACCTCCCCTCTCGATAGAAAAAAGTGAAAAATATTCGCACGGATGTTCGCGTAGTATTTTACGACGAATTCTGGAACGTTATGTTACAACCGGTTGTGTCCACTGTTCGAACGACGAAAATCGTGGCCATTGTTGGCGGAACAATGCGAACGGGAAACAAATGAAAAGGTCGTTGCACATTTTCCGCGATTGCTCGATAGAATAATGAGGGATACGAACAATTGGCAAATCGGTTTCCTGGTGTTTTGTTAATTATCGGGGAATAAGGCAGAACGGGAAACAGCGAAATGTGATAGCCCAGGTAACTTGGTAGTAAATACACAAACACTTACACGCATACAGTGCGAACGTTCGACGCATGGTGTACAACCGTATCGAGTGTCGACATGTTTATTTACTTAGGTTAGGGAACCGAACGAAAGTTCGTCTTAAACGTTTCGGGCAGAAGAAGTCAATTCAAGGTCCGTTATATTTTCTCTCTTTTTCTGGCTACGAAGTGAAAACATCGAAAGTTCCGTCGTTGAAAGTTGTTTTTCGCAATGAAATAAAACCGCGTGCCGTCGTGTAATTTCCAGCCAGGTGACAGAGTATCATGTGATGTTCAATTACACGAGATAATTAAAGGCGAAGAAAACCACCGAGGTGAGCCTCCCCAGTTCGTGTTTGCGGAATCGAAAAGTGTAAGCCATTAGTGGCACTCAATAAACAATCATTGCAAACAACAAGATGGACGTTGAAATTGATCAACGAGGATTCATATACGCTGCTTCATTAAATTCTCATAAACCCTAGCGTGTAAAAGCTTCGTCCGGGGAAAAAAATGCTCCTATTAATTATACCGTTTTGAGATTTTAAAGGTTGCACGTGGGTACAATGTACATACATAACCTTTTATATTCTCTCTTTAACTGGAAAAAAACTCGGCTGTAACTTTTCCCAGTAAAAGTTACAGCGTGCAGCATTTCATTGGACGGCCAAAATATTTAAATTTCAAATGAATGCAAACGGCATGAAAATAATTTTCAATTTGTCCGAGGGAAAAAACGGTTTCGTATTTGTGAAAATTGAACGTCAGCCGGAACTTTGTGAAATGGAAAATTTTCTTTAATATCAATTCTCTGGTATAAAATTAATTAAATAATATAACTCTATCTTGGAATAAAGAGCTCGTGGTTTTATTGAAAAGAAGAAAACTATCGTTCCGTTAAAATGTCCGTAATACGGTTCAATTTTCGTGTATCTCTTTTGGTAATTCTTCGTTGAACGTTATAATTAAACGTTGCCTGAAAATTGTTATCGAAGTCCAGATAATTATTACTGTAATCCATCGATGGTCGTCGAGACAGTACGGTTAAACGGGGAAACTATTTCTGGAAGTGAAAATTGGTAAGGTTAACGTCGTTAGGGCAGGTCGTTTCATGAAACGTAATTCATATCTCATTGACACGTACGATCGAACGAAACTAGACAGAATTAGATTTCGAATAGATTTTGATAGCGGAGGAGTTAATTGATGTTAACTGATCGTGCCAACGTAAATACTTGAGGTGCTCCCGACCCACATACCGTGTTTATGGGAGATCGCCATACACGCCAGACAGGATCGCCATACAAAGAGAAGTGAGGGGGCGCGCGGGTAAAAATATTTATCTCTCGTCGATAGGTTTACCTCGGCAACCAGAAACGATATTTGACAGTAAATTGAAAACGTTCCTCTATTTTCCTCGATTAGTTCCAATCGACCGGTGTAACGTCGGTTATCCTTTGATCTTTATTTATGTATCCTATATTTTCAATAAACTACGAAGATTCTCGTAATATCTCGGAAGCTGATTTCACTAAATTGCTCGCAATTAAAAAACAATCCGTTCAAATTACAAATACTCTCGTATTATATTTCAAAGAAAAGAAGAAACAAGAGGACAATTCAAATATAAATTCGTCATAACCTTAAAATAGTTGAAATGACAAACACTAGGTGCGAAAAAACGTCGTATTTATTTAGTTCGGCCGTGGCGACAACAGGGGGCCAGGGGGCCAGACAGATTGAACGCAAGACGTGCGTTCGCAAGGAACGGCAAGTGCACTGTGGGTAAAACGACTGATTACCTTCGTAATAATAACTAACGTTCTCGAAAGTGTCAGCTCGAAGAAACGAACGAACTCTCTGGTCACGAAGTAGCAGTTTATAATGTCACTTAATACCGTCGCGTTAACAAAAGCCACGGTTGCCTGGAAGTCGAAGGAAACCGTATCCAACACTCGTAGCACGGGCCCGGCGTTCCTTTTACGATACCCCATGGATTTTCATCGCTCGTTCCCGCGCGTTTGGGAATTCAGTGTCGTTTCCAACGTATCGCGACGAATTTGTATCGGATCGAATGTGGTGAAGCTGCCTACGTAAGCAGTGTTACAGATCGTGTGATGACACGAAAGCGTCCGGGTGAGAACGTTCACCGGTGATTTGTAAATATGTAACTTCGGCACGTGTGTTGCGTGTGTACATGTGTGTGGTGGTCGTCGTCGTTGAAAATTAAGGCGCGCGAGTGCGGTGTCCCACGAAACATAAACGGGCGTTACAAACGCGAGCAAAGGTGGAATCGTGGAGGAGAAAACACGATGGACAGGATGGACGATTGACGATACGACGGAAGCGTATCGTGTAACAGACGAGATACACGATTGACACGTTCCTGAGCTGGAGCCGAGTACACGGGACGAAAATGTTGTCCACGGTGTCCAGTGTCCCGCTCGAATTGAATTCTTCGTACTATGCAACTGTTATTGGCAACAACGGTCTCGACGGTTTATCGGGTACGCTGGTGACGCGCCGTTCTATGCTTAATTTTATTATTCTTCGCGTTGTAATTCACTGTCGAACGAGATATCTATGTAAAAACAGGGAAGAGTACGCTGCAACTGTGTTGTTCGATGATAAACGGATTTGCGTTATCAATATAATAACAGCAATGGCTGCCGGTCGTTTTATTGAAATAGAATTATTCCGAATATTGTCTCGTGAAATTTTTCTTCCGTTCACGTAAATACGCGAGAGATAAAATAGGATTGTTATTGTTGCAGAGTTGCATAGATAATATAGAAATTGCGATAGGTTGGAAAGTTTTTTCTTGAAATTAAATGCTAACGTTTCAGTGATCGAGTCTGAAAATACGACCTCGGATATTTATATGTTGCCGCCGTACATTCGCACCACGTCCATGGTTGTGTGCATCATAGTAATGGTACTCGGCATCATCGGAAACCTTATGGTAAGTTTTGTAAATTGCTTTCCGATAATGCGGAAGAATGTAATAAAGTAATGGAATTTCGTGCACCAGAGTTATTTTACAATATTCAGTTAGATGTGGATCAATACGAAGTTTATTATTTCTGAACTAATACGATTCCTGCATTGCACATTATATTGCCTCTCAAATATAGTAGCCCGTTCACAATGAAACGCGAGAGAATCCCACAGTGTGAATATTTTCATTCAGGTGCCATTGGTCGTGTTTCGTGGCAAGGATATGCGAAACAGCACCAATATCTTTCTGGTGAACCTGAGTGTGGCCGATCTCTGCGTTCTCTTGATCTGCACACCCACAGTCCTCGTGGAAGTGAACTCTGGACCGCAAGTGTGGCCGCTGGGCAAGTACATGTGTAAGTCAGAATCTCTCTCTCTCATGCTCCGTGTGACCGTAGTTCGTACCTATTATTACACGCCGCGATGTACATTCGACTCGTCGGCGCGCGTACCGTTTGATCGACAAACCACCCGCGCAAATTATTTCGCCAGTGTTTCACTTCGCGTTTTTTCACGGAGAATTTTTCCGATAAAAGCCGACCAGATACCGAATGGAAGATATCGACTTGCTCGAGTGCCTGAATGAATCTTGCGCATTTTTATGCGCATTATTCGCAAACGTTAGAGGTATTAAGAGCAGGGCTATTATAAGAAAGGATGCAGGATTTTTTGTGTTAATACTGTCTTTAGCTGGGATTATTTTAATACTGTCTATTACGTAGGAAAAATGGAAATTGACATATTATAGGTTAGTTTTTATAACGTAAAAAAATGTGAGAGATTGAAGCTTCGAAGATCAGAATCTGACGCCTCAGGAATGAAACATTTGAAGTGTGAAAATTTCGGAAACTATTAGTTGACATAATTTTGGAACTTTGGAAACCTGAGTTTCGAAAAAATTAGAAATTTCAGAAGTTTCCAAACTTCGAAAATCGAAATATTCAAAAAAATCAGAAGCTCCCAAATTTCGAAAAATCAAAATTGGCAAAATGAGAAATTCGAAAAGCCGCCAAAATTCAAAAATGAAAATCCCAATAAATATGAAAATTCCAGCGTGTTTCACCTTTCCCCAAGAACCCTAAGCGATCGATACACTCCATTTGGATATCCGCGATTCCACGATAGGCAATCGTCGACGGTAAATCGTATCGATTCTACATACGCGACGGTTCGCGTAAAATTCCGGCTGATCCGTGTGTGAGGAGAAGCGGCCATTTGTTCGGCAATTAATTTGCCGCGAACAAGCTACTGCACTTGCCTCCATTAACCGTCCGGCTCGAATTCGTATTCCATTTGCTACTGGATGAGAAAATCTATGCTATCCTTAATTCAATCCGGGCGATAGTGCGTTTAGCGGCGTTTTGTTGGACTCCGGCCAAGACGGTGTAACCGTTTCAAAGCATTCTATCGTTTCACGAGTTGCGTGCCTCTGTGACACAATAAAAAAAGAGTGGGGAAAAAATGGGGAAACGTTGCATTTCTATCATCTTCGTCAAACGTGGCGATGAATAATTGAATCGGTGAGATCAGAAACAACGTGAGTCTATTTAAAAGAAAAAGAAAAAAACGAGTTATACGTTGAATCATGTTGTTCATATTTATTAATATAGACATGTAGTAAAGTGGTGACCTACAAAGTAGGCAGTATTTTGGGCAATTTATGTAATTCTTTTTGGACACCTTTTGTAAACTTTCTTTTTTTCTCTTTGTAATTTTGTATTGTTAAACATATGTACAGAAACAAGATAACTCATAAAAATGAAAATAGAAATATTATGAATTTTTATTTATAAAGAAACTTATCCTGTATCATAAACAATTTAAAAAAAAATTAAATTCTTGATTTATAAATTTGCATTAAAATGAAATCATATTAAGTAAACTTTCTTGTGCTTACTTTGGGCAATTTATGTGATTCTTTTTGGACACCTGTTGTAAACTTTCTTCTTCTCTCTTTGTAATTTTGTATTATTAAGTATATCTACAGAAACAAGGTAACTCATAAAAATTATAATAGAAATATCATGAAGTGTTATTGATAAAGAAACTTACTCCTTATCATAAAAATTTTAAAGAAATATTCTCATTAATTTCTGAAGAAAATATTTTCACTAATTTGTGAAGAAAAGAAAGAATTTTTCCCTGTTTCTGGAAAGTTAATTAAGCTTGACTGGTGTTATTTCTGATCTCACCTATTCAATTCTAACACCGGTGCAAATGACATTTCATTTTTAAAGTCTTTTTTTCCGTTTAATTTCTGCGAGTACTGTACGACTTGAAATTGTCCGACCTCATTTTCAGAATACCACGCAATTCGCGTACAGAAATTTCATCTACCGTGTTTGAACATTCTTACAGCAGAAATTTTAACGTTTGTTTGAAATTCCATGCGAAAGTGCATTTCATAAAGCACGGTGATTCTCGTTGCAGAAAAAGGAGAACGAATTCCACGAGATGCATTAGTATACTTATTCTACTTCACATTAGCCAATGGGGGAGAGCTGTGAAACTTTCAACGCAGACGCGCATCAAGTGATAATGAAAATTGGAAAGCGGAACGAACGAGAGTCGACGTTGTTTCTTCTTAATTAATCGTCATTTTTCCGGTAGACTTTTCATCGTTGCGAAAATTTTGACGTCTTCTCGGTGTAAAATTAGTTTCTCTTTGCGCGATTTCAACAGACACGATCTTACAGCGTTGTTTTCCGAACAATTCAACGATATAACGCGCGATGTTTCGCGATAAAATGAAATTCCAGAGGGAAACTTTGAACTCCGATGTTTCATAAACCTACAAATGCGTGTCGATATTGACGAACACGTCGTAGCTCTACGTTCGTTCAAACGGAATATTTAGAATCGAGAGAGAGAGTCAAACCGCTGGAACTAATTCTCTTATTGCATAGAGTATGGAAAGAATTTGAAAATCACGTGGGTGGGTATAGTGATTGTTCCATGTGTATGGTAGTGAAACCAGAATTTCGAGTAAAAATAGAGAAGTAATGAAAAGTCAAAATCGGTTTCGACATATCTGTGATATTCTCTGAAGAATATTAACACTGTTGGAAATAGTGAAAAATAATACCAAAGGTATCTCTTCTTCACCTAAAAATAATACCACAAAAATTCCAAAACTGGCCAGAAATCGACAAAAAGTAGTTCCAAATAAAAAATATTATTGCACGATGATCTGAATGATCAGTTTCAGAAAATCTGCAATGTTTTTCAGAGAATATTAAAGCCATTAAAAAATACTAGAAATATCTCTTCTTTGCTTGGAAATAGTATCGCGAAAACCTGATTACAATCGTGATTCGAAAATTGGCCAAAAAAGCAATAGAAAACAATTTTAAATAAAAAGAAAACAATAATAAATATCATTCCATGATGCATCCCAATGATCACTTAAAAAGAACCTGCAGTATTTTCCAAAGAATATTAAAACCGTTAAAAAATATTGAAAAACAATACTAAAAATCTCTTCTGTATCTAAAAAAAAAAAAAATAGCACAAAAACCTGATTAGAATCGTGATTCCAAAATTGCCCAAAAATCAGTGAATAGTAGTTCCAAATGAAGAAAGAAATCAAAAATACTATGACACAATGATCACTTTTCAAAAACTTGCAGTATTTTCCAAAGAATACTAAAACCGCTCAAAAATATTGAAAAACAATACTAAAAATCTCTTCTGTATCTAAAAAAAGAAGAAAATAGCACAAAAACCTGATTAGAATCGTGATTCCAAAATTGCCCAAAAATCGATGAAAAAAGCAATCAAAAATACTATGACATGATCACTTTTCAAAAACTTGCAGTATTTTCGAAAGAATTCTAAAACCATTAAAAAATACGAAAAAATCTCTTCTTTACCAACAAACAATAACACAATAACCCAATTACAATCGTGACACCAAAATGGTGGAAAAATTGGCCAGAGAAGAGTTGCAAAGAAAAACAGATGTGAACTATCTACGACGCGGGATGTCTGCACCGTAACTAAGAATTTTCAAAAACACTACTTCCGGGCGCGAAGTTTACAAAGACGGGGAGCGCAGAGTAACAAGTTTTCTTATCGAAGTTTCGAAGAGAGCTGCGAGTGTTTACCGGAGGACATCCTTGTCGCGATATGTTCCGATTTCGTTGAAAAAGTGTGTGTGTGTGTGTGTGTGCGTCCACGGTGCTCTACCGTATGGAAAACCGGGTCACGCGGTTTTCTCTGTATAATTCGTAAAAATGCCCGCGTTGACAGTTAGCGAAACGACCGTGCACTCTAGATAAAAGCCACACGTTTTCAGAACAAAACGGGGTAACGCGATTCGTTTTCAGCTGGAAGCACTTCGCGCCTAGTTAACGCGAACACCGACGACGGCGCGACATTGCGAAGAAACCGACGCGTCGTCTTTTCCACCTCGTTCGGACATTTTCACGAGCGACGCCTGCTCGTTTCAAATGACTCTGCATGGTCTGGTAGTTTCGTGGCGCGTAGAGCACCTGCAAAAAGTTGTTCGATCAGAGACGGTTTTATTCTCGCGGCGCCAAATTTGTATAATTGCAGATAAGTACATTGAAATTAGTGGAAATTTAGTGTCTTTAGATGAAATTGTACAGTTGTGCTCGAATCCTTTTTTCTTGCACACTGTATGCATCACTTTTTATTCAATGGGACGGTTTTATTCTCGTGGCGCGAAAAGTTTGAAATGGTAAGAAATTTAGAATACTTTTTGCACACTCTACGTATTATTTTCTATCCTCCGAACCTCAATATTTTCGTTTTTAATCTCTAGAGAGACTTTTTTTAAATCCAAGAATTAGAAAAATCTCCCCTTCACGTTACATTTGAATACATTTCAACCGAACGTCTCAGTAGCAACAAAATTTCATCGTTAATTCACTCGAGCCTTGTTAAAAGAAAAAAGAATTAATGTACAGACTAATTTTGGGCTTGCTACTCTCCCAAATTCTTCAAGATCCTTCGTACTCTACCTCGTACGCTTTGTCGCTCAATAATTCCGGCTAAACGGCGGCGAGAGTGTCGAACTTGTCTGTCTAACAATAAAGGACAGTAGCGGGGAAAGGTTGAAAAATTCACGAAATTCTCCGTGAGGCGAGAAAAACACCCGAACCTGTGGAATTTCTCGTTGCGTCATGCAATATTCTTGAGACAGTCCTCCGGTTCGACGTTACGTCTCGAAAAAAGTGTTCCACTTTCGTTTATCCGGCCGTTAAACATGCATCGATATCGTAAGAAAATTCATTCTCGAGAGTGTATCGAACAATTATCAATAATTGAACTGCTCGTTAATCCCATTTCTCAGTGAAGAATCGTAAAAAACAAAGAAAGAAGATAATTACGA